CACTCTTATTTGTCATGTTATAGTTAATTAAGAAGATATAATATTATATATATGTATAGTTAATCCAATTAAATAATAAAAATATCAATTCCAAAGCAGTGAAAGCATCAACGGGATACCGTGATGCTTTTTACTTCATGAACGTGCCACAATTAATTAATATTTTTTTAATTAGTTGGTGAGGTAATGGTAAAAGTCGCATATTGAGGTGGCATTCCCATCTATTCCAATATTTTAAGTCGTCACTCTCCAATTTGAATTAAGTTGGAAAGCGCGCTTTTGATGTGCTGGCGTATTGATTAATTATTCCGTCATTTTGTGCCGGATTATATTAATCCGTCATTACGAGAATTAATAATGGGATAATTGCGCTTTGGGGATTGGTAAGCACTTACTTGGGATTTGATCATGACATGTGATCGATGTGGGATTTCATTTTCCCTTTTGTTTTATTAAAGTTGTTTGATTTTTATGACCTTATCTGTTTTATTATTATTATTATTATTTTTATTATTATTATTATTATTATTTTATTTTTTATTTTTTTGAGTAAATTATTATTATTATTATTATTATTATTATTATTATTATTATTATTATTATTATTATTATTATTATTATTATTATTATTATTATTATTTGCTACGGAAATTTGATATATATTATTGTATTCTTCTAAAAATGAAAAATCTAGCCTTTTTCATTTGTTATATAGTGTGAAATACATCAGATTATATATCATCAATGACCCATAATACAATCACAATTAAATTATATATATATATGATCTATGTAAAATATTTATTGAATGTGTACAAATAAATTTCATTGGCCGTGAAATATGGTGATGATGATGATGATAATGATGACGATGATGATTATAACTATAATGATGGTTGATGACTGAGAGAAGCATAACAATTAATTAATTAAAGAGCCTAAATCACAGCATTTATTTCTGTTAATCAGAAATCATATGAGATTAAGGCAAATCATGTTATAATGAATCAATGACTATTTCAATTTTCACCAACTAAATTACATAAGCCTTTTCAGTTTGCTATCTCAAATTAGTGACATCTATAATAGCTCGTTTAAAAGTCTTCTAACAGCTTATTTAAAAAAAATCTAAAAATTATATCAAATACCTTTGAATAATTTATAAGCTTTTAAAAATCTTATAAATAGTTTTAAAAGCTTATACGCTTAGCCAATGAAGCTCTCACATATTTATTTTTCGATGAATCTAATCAATCGGGGGATCAACCGACTATGATAGGAAAAATATTTTCCAATTTTAGCTTATCGGAGAATTGGAATTTGCCCTAAAATTGCATAATTTTATACATTGAAAACATGAAAAATCTTAAGTTAATTGTGTTTTAAGCTTTTAACCATAATCATAGTTGTTATAAGTTGGATCAACAATATTTTTTTGATTAGTTTTGGGATTAGATGGATGACTATACTTCCACTAACATATGATTTATGAATTATATATAGCCACGTTTGTAAATAGGTTTGGTTAACTATTACCTATGTTTAAGAAAGGTGACATCATGAGATAAAAAAATAAAAAATAAAATAAAATAAAAAAACCAAGCATGATATAACACATATTATATATAATACAATATGTATATATTATATTCTTAATATTAATAGCCATTTTCAAGCATAATGCATCACGAAAGTATATTGAATAATATATAAACGCAATTATACTCATATATACTACATTTACTTTGTCGACGATTCTAATTATATTGAAGTTTGTTCGGTACGTTGGGTAATATGGTTACATGATAAGGGTAAATTACTGTCATTCCCCTTAGGTAAGGTAAATTATGAAAACATTTATTTATGTTTAGGTAATTACAACTACCTCCCTTAACTATATATTTTCTTACACATCTATTTTTACGGTGTCAAAATTAGTAGTATCTTCTAGATTATGTATAATATTCTCCAGTTGTACACGTTTTAGTCCACTCGACCTCCCCATTATGAAACAAGATGATCATAAGATGTGTCTCTTGGCTTGTAAATATCAGATTGTTGTGTATCGGAAACTGTACTTTTGCACAAAACGAGTACAAACTAAATAATATACCATAAAAACTAGAAGATTATGTAGAATTTGACACTAGCAGGGTGGACGTGTAAGAAGATTCATAGTTAAGAATCGGAGTGGTTGTTATTAACCAAACAAGAGGGGGTAATTCGTAATTTGACCTTATCTAGAGGGGTTGGTCGTAATTACCCAAATAATAATGAAAAATTAATTATTATTTTTTATTATAAAATATAAAGAAAAAAAATTAAAAAACACAATCATGTGGATAATTAGAGCATCAAATCACTCATGTGACGATAATGTTGAAACTCGAACCAATGTACATATATCGTCGTTACGGGTGATTTAAAATCACTCCTTAACTCTATGTTGTATATACGACTTACTGAAACTAATAGGCTGTTAGAACTGTAACGGAATAACGTATCAAATGCATTATCCCGTCAGAATTTCTAACAATGTTTCAGGAGAATAATTGTAATTACTGATACCACATGGACCTTAAAAGTAGTTTAGCATACGTTAGGGGTGTGGGTGCAATTTACCCACAAAATGAATACGCCGCTATCAAGG